CCCCCGGCGCTCACCCTTCTCCTTGTCCAGCGGCGGCAGGATGCTGTTATCCCTGCAGACCTTGAAGTAGATCTCCTGCTCCATGCCCTCGGGGATGGCGCCCTGCGGGATGATGATGCTGACGCCCGTCTCTATGGAGCTCAGCACCCCGCCGTTGCCGTTGAACACGCCGCGGGCCGTGGCCACCACGGTGTGGCCATCCTCACCGTCGCCCTCGTCCGGCACAGCTGTGGGGCTGAGTTCGGGAGCCGTCGTGAGTCACCCCGGCGCCCGCGGGTGCTCTCGCGACAGGCAACCCTCCTTTGCATCCCTAAGCTGTTCACCTTGGCAGGTAGGTCCTCGGGGACAGACCTGACACGCACAGGGCCACCCCAGGGGGTCCCTCCTGGGGAAACCGGTTTCGCCTTTGAAGGGAACCAATCAAGTCGCCTCCGGTTCTGATTTCTGCAACAGGACGTACCAGCCCGGGACCCGCCTCACCCGACTACAGGTCCCTGATACTAAGAAATGCGTTTTAACATCCATGAAAGGGGTGTTTTAAAACCGACAGCAGGTCACGGCTGAGCTGGCAGCACTGTTTTTCCTTCTCAGTGATACACGAGACGACGGCGCCTCTTACAACTGGCAGCACCTCGGGCCGCTGCGCTGTCGTCGGGGTTTCAGGGGTGCGCACTTTCCTGCCTGAGCACTCGAGTCGCCGCGCCCTGCTGTCAAAGGCAAGGCCTCCACAGTTCCACGAGGTGACAGAGACCAAGCTACCCCCGGAGACAGCAGCTCACTAACAGCAGCAGGGGCAGGAGGGGTACCTAAGGCACAACGAGGGCTGCGGAGAGGGGGGCCGCCCAGGTCCGAAGTCGAGCTGAGCCAGGGCCCCAAGGTGAGCAGAAAGGTGGGTGGACGAGACAAAAGCAGGTGAAGGCCGGGCAGCTTCGTTCCTGCGTGACCAGGGCACCGGGTGGATGCCAACCTGAGCGACCTTCTGTCCCCACCCCCTCCCGAGAGGGAGGCAGCTCGTGCCGGTGAGCAGCCGCGGGGCGTCCCGGCCTCGGGCCGGCTGCGAGCGCGTCTGCGCCGGGGGCCTGAGCGTGAGTGGACCTGGGGGCGAGGGGAGCTTCCGTGTGGCCAGCGTGGGGCTGGTCAGCACCATGGAATGACGACAGAGAAGAGAGTCCACCGCTGGGGCTCCTGGTGGGCCCGTCTCTCGTTTGCTCAGAGAGCTGACTCCCTAAAACTTTACAAATAGCTGCTGTTTTGTAACCACCACGTGGAGCTCATTACTGCTGAGCAGACAGTGGACAAGGAACACAGACGCCTATGTTTCCGAGGTCACGGGAGCCGCAGCTGTTAAGAGCATGGGCCGGGGTCAACGACCAGGCCTGAATCTAGGTTCCCGCCCCCGCTGTGTGACCTCGGCAAACTGCAATGTCACTCAACTTCATTTCTTAGAGAAATGGGGCTAATGACAAGGCCTGGTGGCCACATGACTGCTAGATTATTTCACCGAATCATCTTGGGTCCCTCGCAGGACCTTCTGCGTGATGGATTCATGGCAATGGTTTGGTCAACAATGTTGAGTTTAAGGTCTAAGTTAAAACTACCAGGTCAAGTCCTCACGCCAGACAACCACAGGGTCGAGAAGGGGGCACAGCTCTTACCTCACGGGGACAGCCTTGGGCACGGCGCTGACGCTGTTCGCCTGGTACCTAGGCTTGTCTGCGTGGACGGAGAACGTCTCCACTCCGCTGTCGAACTCGGGAGGCTGTGCTTTCATGAGGGTTTTGGGAGACGTGGGGACCTTTGAAGACACGTCGGGCTTGTGCGCGGATTCGCTTGGCAGGAGGTTGTGACTGAATTTAGGGCTTTCAAACTTGCGCTCAAAGGGCCGCGCAGAACTGGTGTATGGTTTGGGGGTGAACCGATTGTAGGCTGGGGCGACTGTTTTTTGAGTCTGTTCGGTCCCGTTCACAGGAGCTTTATCTGTGAAACTTTTCTGGGCGTAGAAGGTGGACTGAGCGGGATCCTCTCGGTTCATTGGTCTGAAAGTTGTTGGTTTATTTTGAGATGGAGGCGGCTCTGGTTTGGATACTAAAGAATTCTGAAAATCCAATGACACTGAATTACCTGATTAAAAAAAAAAGCACACAGACAACATTTAAAAAACTTTTTAAAAGGAGGTTTTACAGCCCCTCTGATGTCTCTCCCATCTTAACTAGTCCTAGTTCAGGGTCACCAGTGAGAGGCAGCTCTTAGACACTGGTGGCTGTGTGACGCTGAGGGAGGTCACACGGACACATGGTGCTGTTAGTGTGTCCTGCTGCCTTGGAGTCAGGGCCATGCTGCTAAGCGCATTCCCCCAGCGGCTGGCGACTGAGTAACCCCTCTCCAACGTCCATAGCAAATACCAAACAGAATGACAAATTTAGCTAAGTTAAAAAAAAAATACTAAAAACTCATTGTCAAGAGAAAAGGCACAGTTTGGGAAATGCTGTTACCAATGTGTAACTAGCTGATGAAGTAGGGCCTAAGACCCACAGGGAACACCTCCACCCCCGTAAGAAAGACGCAGCCTGACAGGAAGATGGGCGAAGCCCCCAGGAACCACGCAACAGACACAGCCTCACTGCGAGCGAGGAAAGTGCTAACTCCAAACAAACAAAAACATGAAATTCCATTTCACACCCATGAGGTTAGCAAAACGGATGCCTGGTATCTCCCAGGGTTGACAAGATGTGAAACTGCAGGAATCCCACGTACCGCTGGTGGCAGTGAGACAGTGACAAGTGGACTCTATGAGATAACTAAGCAGAAAATGCCACCAACGCTCTTCAAACCCTTTCAGAAAGAGGGAAAGAGGGAGCACGTCCCAGCTCTCTATGAACCCAGCACAATCTCGATACCAAAAGCAGGCAGGGACGTTCCAAGAAAAGGAAACTATAAACCCAAATGCCTTGTGAACGTCGTAGTATAATTTATTCCATTAACAGAATAAAGGAGAAAAATCTTACGAGCCCCTTAACACAGGCACCTGACCAAGTGATTTCAGCACATCAGGAACAGAAGGGACCGTCCTAAACGGAATCAAGGCAGCTACGAGAAACCACAACAAACCCACAGCTAGCACTGTGAGGGTGACACTAAATCTTGCCTCCCCAAGACGGGAGGTGCCAGACGTCTGCTCTCCTCGCTTCCACGCGATGTCTCAGTGGAAGGAAAAGAAATTAAAGGCACCCGAAACTGTCTGCACACATGACAGGTGGAAAGAAAGTCCCAACGTGAGGGTGCCTCCGTCTACAACCGCCCCTTGTCTGCTGAGGCTCGGCCTGGCATCTGACCCCTGCGTAGGCAACGAAAGAACTGCTTGCAGTGGCCAAATGCCAACAGAAGGATCAATTGTGGTACATTCTGAGGGTAAAATACAGGTTTTTTTGAAAGGGCTAAATAAGAAAAGGGGTGTTGCGAGGTGGAGGGGACAGTTTCCATTTCAGGGAGTCTGATGAAAGGCAGAGATACAGAAGTAGTTTGAAGAGATAGCGGGGTCAAAACAGGGGGCTTTGCACGGCAGAACAGGCGACCTGCGTGCCTGAAGGCAGAGGGCAGGATTCTGTGGGAGGGGACAGACTGACGGAAGAGGCGGAGGGAAAGACGGAGGCAGCAGGGAGAGGAGCTGGGCCACTGAGGGGCGGCACGGACAAGGGAGGTGAAGGGCGGGATGTGGGGAACAGCAGGGACACAGCCACTGCAATGACGGACGAGCTGCAGGTCGTCCGCCTTGCTGAGACTTTGCTACAGGACGCACATGCAAGGGCAACGCGCTCAGGGACACGTATTAGGCGAAACTTGGCATCTTCCCGGAGTCATGTGTAAAGAGGGGATGTCACAATAACGTTTATAAACCGCCATTCAATCCGATCAGACATACCAGTAAACAAACATGACTTCCAGAAACTGAGCTACGTGAATAAAACGGAGTAAAAGATATTTAGGGAAAAGGCTGATCCAATATAAGTCACAGTCAAAAACAGGTGATGTACTTTTGGCAAAATCCTTAGTTTTCACTGTTTTTAGCTTAAAAGTCTTGTGTATTATTTCTTATGTGAAAAGCCACTTTGCTTAGGAGTGGGGGTGTAATTTCTTAAGTCTTGCTCTTACAGCGGTGCTGCCAGCTGAGCGGCCTACCTTCCCCGTGGGCTCCTTTGGCGTGGGCGTGGGCGTGGGCGTGGAGCGCGGGGCCGGGCGCAGGCTGC